CAGAGAGATAAGAAGAACATAAGAGAATGTCATAAAAAATAATTTATAGATCAAAGAAAAGCTTTTAGAAATTAAAAACATGATAGCAAAAATGAAAGTCTCAAAGCTTTAAAATAGTAAAATTTCTAGAAAGTGTGAAGCACTTAATAAAATAATTGAATAAAAAGATTCAAAAATGGAAGAAAAGAAATAGGTTCAAGAAGTAGAACCTCTCATTAGAAACCCAAAATCAAAATCAGAGTGAAGAACATTAAAGATAATATAGAAACTTTCCCAGAGCTAAGGGATACAAATTGTACGGCTGAGAAGACCAATAAACTACATGAAAAAATGGCTGATAATAAACACTTGAATCACATCACTGTGACATCTCAGAACTCCAGATATTACAGAGAATATTCTTTAAACTTCAAACAAAGAGACTGTACAAGATTCCAGAGAAAATATTAAATTGAGGGGTAAAGTGTAAGAAATAAGAATGGCTTCAGATTTTACATTAGAAGAAAAAAATTTCTTTACATTTCTGAAGAAAAACAATTTCCAACTTATAATTCTACACTCGAACTAGCAATTGGGGTAAAATAAAGACACTGACACAAATATAATGCCTCAAAACATTTCCCTCTCAGAAGGCTTTTGAGGACTGTGATGAACCAAAATGAGGGAGTACAGGAGATAAAAAATTACAGAGGGTATAGGAAACAAGGGATCCACCATAGGATAGAAGCTGCAAAAACAGAAACATATCATGAAAATGGCCTACACTGAAAAGATCAGAGAGCTCTAGGAGAAATAATGGTTAAACTGATAAAAATAATTGACACTTTGTAATATAAGGGGAGATGTTTTAAAAACTGGTGGATTGGCGGAAATTGATCTAATGATAAGCATTCAGAAACTATACAAACATAGAATAATCATTTATCAAAAATTAATATATACAAGGGAAGATGATGAAATTGGTTTGGGGTGTTAGTGGGCACAAAGCTAAGTCTACATCATCCATATAAGTAAATCAACAGGTAACATCTAAAAATTGGAAAAGCAAGAGGTAGCAATATAAGCAATGTAATTATTTAGAGATACAGAGGCAAATACCAAAATCAGTCAAAGGAAAGGTTTAAAAGTGTTTGCCTTTTGGGCAACAGGCAGGTACAGGGAGTTGCGATAACCACCCAATATCCTACCCTTCCTGGGAGTAAGAAAAGCAAGGGGATAAAGGTCCAACCATTTTGGTCCACCATAGGGCAAATATAATAGTAAATATTCTGGAGAACCCAAATTGTGGCAAAGACATATGAGCTGTTTTTAATAATAAGACATGTAAGGGCCGACAGGTGGCATGGTCGTTAGTGTGCTAGACTCCCACATGGCCAACTGCAGTTCAAGTCCCAGATCTGGTGGCTTGCTTTCTCACTTTCTCTTTCTCTCTCTGTCTGGTCAAATTAAAGAAAAATGGGTAATGATAGCAAATCAAATCAATAAATGATTCTTTAAAAGAAAAATAAGCCACGTAGAAGTAGTTGAAACTTACAGCATGTATTTTTACCTTTAAAACTGTTTATTTAAAAGAAAATTACAAAACACTTCAAATACTTTCTAATTTAATTAACTTCTACTTAAGAAAAACAAATGTGCTCTGGTCACTAATGTCACAGTGTGACAAATACGATATTTCAAATTTTAAAGTAATATGTGAGTGAAGTCATAAAAGATAATTTTGGCTCAAAGCATAATGATCCTACAATCAAATCTCAAAAAGAATAAGTTCTACTTATGGTAAAGGCAGAGTGAACTAACTGTCTTACTGAGGATAACAACAATAAAAAAAATACGTAATAAAAATTAAATAAGTTAGTGTAAAATTATATGACAAAATTTAGGTGAAGGTAAATCAGAAACCACACACCAAGTCACTTTTTTGTTCTGAGGACATCTGATGACCCAGAATAAAAAAACTGAGAAGCAAGGCTGTGCCACTGTAGACTTAGCTGAGCTACTACAAAAAAATCCAAGTACAGGCCCCACCAGAGCTGGGGGCTCAGAGAAACAAATCATCACTCAGTTTAAGTTGGGACTGCAAGGACAGTATCATCAGCAGCATCAGTCAACATTAAAATTAGAACTCGCAACGAACCTGAATCTACTTAATATCATGGGCATATCGGAAGGAACTGCAAGTCTTAAACATGAATAAAAAAAACAGGGTTGACAGCATCCCAGTCATTTTCCCTAGACTAATGTGTTTTCAGTATTTTTATTTTAATATTTGTTATAGCACATGTGTTTCCTGCTGGAGAGAGACAGAGAGGAGAAAGTATCTGTAGTGGAATGGTCACAACACAATCCTTTCTCCATTCTCCAGTTGAGTTTTTGGACACAAACATACATGTGTTTTTCAAGCTGCTGGGTATGGAACTTGAGCTGCACACCTTAACCACCACACTACAGCCTGGCCCAAATGATGCACTTTCTTAGGAAAAATATCATTATCCTAAGACCCATATAATCTTATAATTTTTCTAGTGTAACAACAAGCAAACTGGCATAGCAGAAACAGACTAAAAAAAATGTCAAAATTGGAATAATCTGTTACAGACAACAAAGGAGCCATGAATACCATACCAATAAAAGTCAAGACTGCAATTTTCAGTTGAAAACTGGGAACAGTATAAAAACAAAGAATGACTATAGCTGATTTTTTTTAAAAAGACTCCAGTGTAATGACTGAAGAATCTCAATGAACCCAAAGCCAGACAAAGAATTCCACACAGAAATAATAAAGTGAAATAGCAGAAAAACCATAACAAATTTCAAAAAACCAATTTCCTTCAAAATGGCAAGAATTAGATTGACAGCTGAATTCTCAAAATCAATAACGGAAGAAAAGACAGTGACTAACCATTAATCTACAACTTCATACCCCCAAAACATTCAAGATTGAAGGCAAAACAAAGACCAAATAAGGTAAGCAAAAACTTAATTAGCCATGTGTGCACGGTAACTTCTAAAGAGCTTACTCAACTAAAAGAAAAAAAAAAGATCCCAAAAGAGTTGAAGAAAAAAAGTAAGAGGTAAACACAGAAGTATTCAACATAAAAGAACAGGGCTGTCCAAAATACCACAAGGGAAAAAATTTATTTAAATTTTCTAGTGCTCACATTAAATAAATCAATTACTAATAGAATTTAAATCTTAGCAACATGCTAGATAAAAAGGTACACAATGATATATGATATAGTATATATAAATGATTTAGAAATAGTAAAAAATAACATGCAAAGCTTTATTATTTAGGAATGCTGACATAGGTGGTTAAAAAATACATGGTAGAAGGGCAGCAGGTGGCAGTGGTTAAGGTGCTGGATTCACACATGGCCAACCATGGTTAGAGTCCCTGACTTGGAGGCTTGAGAATCATACCAGACATGGATACACATGTGCCCCAAATCCAGAATGTAGGAGAAGGGACAGAGGCGAAGGGATAGTAGTACAACTATACACCCTGGAGTGTGATTTCTCATTTTTCCTCCCTCTCATCTCTCTCTCTCTCCAATGAGTGAAAGCTCCTTATGGAAAAAAAAATTAAAAACAAAACAAAACAAAAAATTAGAACCCTTGTATACAATTACCATAGAAATAGAAAAATGAGGAAGGCTCAGTAACTTAGGGGAAGATTTATTTCTAAGGAGCCAATGGTGCTCTAGTTCTTAACATTGGTAGGATGAGTGTTCACTTTATTGTTATTCATTATGCTATACATACATGTTTTGAACGTTTTTCTGTATGTTTAGCTTTTTATAATAAAAATGTGAAAATTGTATCTAAGGCACATTAATTGCCTTGGTATATATTTTTACTACTATAAAATGATAAGTATTTGGTTTCAATATAAAGAAAAATTTTAAGGCAGAGTATTCCAACTGCCATGGATTACTGGACACACAGAAGGCTGAAACACTAGGCCATGATGCACACATAGGAATCACTTGCAAAACTTGTAGGAAGTAAAACGTAGAGAACTAGTAACCTTAATTGACAGTGAACCCTAAAAAACTCAAATAATATGAACACACACACACACACACACACACACACACAGGAAGAATTTTAGACAGTTAAAATTATATAGTAACTACAAGTCAACTGAAAAACTCGAATATTTTAAATTAAGATGGTATAAAATGAATGCGAAAAGGTGTTACTCCACTAGAAAAGTTTTACGAATGTAAATTTATTAATCTTTTCTTAAAAAGTTTGAATTCTGGCTCTGTAAAACATTCGTTATTTTCAGCGGATAGGTGGCATTTATTTGAGAAACCAAAGACTCAAAATCTAGAGATAGCATCCAGAGACATTAAATACAAAAAAAAAAAAAGACGCTTAAAAATACCTTGCCTATAGAACAGGAAGGGAAAACCTGGATCATGTCCCTTCCCTATTAACCACAAAACTCTAAACCAAGGATTACACAATCCACATCCCTCTGTGAGCAGCTACAAGCTTTATGCTGCAGCAATAATGCAAGACGTGGAGAGAAATTCCCCTCAAGACTTCCCTGCCTGACCCTTCCCCAGTGCCACTCCAGTATTCCGGAGAGGGTTGCGAAGGAAGGAAGGAATGATACAATATCCAACGTAAGCAAAGCCAACTGGGTCAAAATCCACACACCAGGCTTGTCGCTCTCCCATAAGTCCCCTCCGCTGAGCTGAGGGAAGTCACCTGCAGCGGTTCCTTTCTTTTACTCTCGACCATCACATTCCTTAACCCCCGCTGCAGAGCTGGACTCCTCAGGTCTCCCTGCACTACTCAGGAATTCATCAGGGGCCCCGGGGCGGCAGCAAGACAGAGAGCGCTATGTCCTGGCCTGCCCGGCCTAGACAAGCCTGCCCCTTTCCCACAGTCCCAGTCTCCACAGCCTTCCACCCTCCTGCTCTTGATTCGTTTTTAGCCACTGGCGTCCGTAACCTTCGACGTAAGGCCAGCCTACACCATATCACCTCTTGCAAAGAAACCTGCCTTTACCAAGGCAAAGAGCGGATCCAGCGACTGCGGTAATCGCTTCACGGGATCTCCCAGCCGCGACCCCAGATCTGCTTCACCTGCAGCTGCCAACTGTGCACAACCACTCCCGACATGCCCCGCGCTCGCGCACCGCATGCCCCGCGCCCGCGCACCGCCCTCTCCCCCGCCCCCCTCCCGCCCAAACACGTGACCGTCGCCACGCCCACTTCCGTTCCTCTACTTTTCCTTAAGAGGGAGGAGGGAGCTGGGGGTGTTAGAGTAGTGACTTCCTCCTCCTCCCCGCCCCCGCCCCTCTACCCCCTGCTACAATGTCTTCCGGGTCGCTAGCGCCCCGGCGCCTTCTGGGAAAACATCTCATTTCCTCCCCTCCCCCTCCTCCTGCCTTCCACCAACCAGCCTCCCGTCAGACAGGGACATGCGCAGTGAGTGCCTCCCGTCTCTTCTACCGAAGAGAGAGGCAGTGGCAGAGGGGGGGCACCTCTTTTTTCTATTTTTAAAGGGACAGGACACTAATTTTACCCCACTTCAACCTTGAATTGAGGGGGGTGGGGGGAAGGCGGCTGAGTTCCTTCCCCCACCCTCCAGCCCTGAGCCCTGAGAGAGGGATTGAGCCTGAGAGAGAAGGAGAAGGAGTTTCTTCTTCTTCGAAAACCCCCATCCACGACTCCTACCCCCTCACCCCTCCACTCGCCTCCCTCCCGCGCCCCC